CTCCTTCTTGGTGAGGTCGAAGAGGGCACGGGCGTGGCAGGAGAAGTCCTTGATGAACCGCCGGTAGAAATTGACAAACCCAATGAAGGACTGGACCTCCTTCTTGTTCCGCGGCACAGGCCAATCCGATACACCGGAAACTTTGACCAGGTCCATTTCCACCCTTCCCTCCGACACAATCACCCCAAGATACTCTATCCGCGTCCTCTCAAATTCGCACTTTTCCGACTTGAGACACAGGTTGTACTCCCGGAGCCATTCCAGCACTCTCCGCACGACTTCCCGATGTTCTGACATTGTTTTTGTGAAGATGAGGATGTCATTGAGGTAGACACAGACAACCCCTTCCGCTATCATGTCACGGAAGATGTCATTCATCATCGTCTGGAACATGGCAGGACTGTTGGTGAGGCCAAAGAACATGACCTGTGGCTCAAAGAGTCCTCGGTTGGTGCGGAATGCGGCCTTCCACTCGTCCCCCTCCCGGATCTGAACATTATTGAAGCCCCAGCGGACATCCAGGTACCTTGCCCCATGGAGTTGTGTGATCAGTTCGTAAATGAGTGGAATGGGGTACCGGTTCTTGATCGTGATCGCATTCAAGGCCCGGTAATCCTGCACAAGTCTGAGCGAGCCGTCCTTCTTCTTGATGAAGAACACCGGAGATGCCATGGGTGACTTGGAGGGGCAGATCCTCCCTGTATGGAGGTTTTCTGCAAGGAATGCATCGAGCTCTACCTGCTCCTTGGGTGACAGCGGGTAGACTTTGCAGTTGGTGGGCTTTGACCCAGGCTCCAACTCGATGGCATGGTCCCACAGCTTTCGTGGAGGTAGGGCATCAAATGACTCCTTGGCAAAGACATCCTTGAACTCCCGCAGGTACTCCGGAATTTCCACCTCCACTTTATCATGCTTCTTGGAGGCTTCAGCAAGGCGTTGCGAAATATTTCCGGTGGCACGGATGTGTTCCGCTTCCGGTGGAAGGTTTACGTACAGTAAGCACTCCCCCTCCACCAGAGTCTCTTCCGGGCTGAGTCGGATGACGTTGGAGTCGGAATCGGAATCGGAATTGAATGTGGGAGCCGGTTCAAATTCCGCTTCTGAGCCTTCTTCTGCAAGCAGTGGATGGGCCAGAACGACATGTCTGTATGAGCCGTTCGGTCTTCCGCTGCTCCTGGCGCTCCTTCCGCACTTCCGATCGGCACATGTGACACTTGGCTGGGCACCGACTCATCAGCACCTTCCGAGTCTGCCAATCAATCTCTGGGTTGTGCTCCTGGAGCCAGGTAAACCCGAGGATGATGTCTTGCTTCCCCAGGCTGGTGACTGCAAAGGAAGTGCGTTCTGTGTGTCCATCATAGTGGAGAATTGTGTCTACTATCTCCGTGATGGACCCTGCCTCGTTGGGGCTTCCATCTACATTGAACACCGGGATTGCACGTTGCAACTTCCGCGTGGTCAGTCGGTTCCGTTCCACATAGTCCCGGTCCATAAACTGACCAGTGGCCCCGCAATCGACAAGGGTGGGTCCGGATTTGACTTCCGCAGTATCTGTTGTCTGGATCTCCACCTTAATGACTAGTGACTTGGGGCCAGGGGTGGAAGCAACAACATAGCGCTTCGGGAGGCGTCTCTCCCAAGGGTGGGTGCGAGGTGGATGGGGTGTTGGATTTGGTTTTTGTGTGACTTTATCCGGTGGGTCTGCACGAAGTGAAGGGAGTGGGGGCTTTTCATTCTCTACTTCAAGACAGGCAAACCGGTTATGTACAGGCAGCAGGGGCACACATCTCACCCGCTGTGCGTCACAAAATCCGACGCATCTTCCGCTTCCGATGTACCATGTTCCGCATTTTCGCAAATTTCTTCCGCAGTGGGCACTCCACTTATGTCCGCAAATGCGAGGAACTCTAGAAGGAGCTCGAGTTTCTCCTCCATGGTCATAAGCCGGATGTCAAAGGCTTGGGGGCACTTGCGGGCATAGTGGCCTGGTTGTCGGCATCGGAAGCAGGTGATGGTTCCGTGGCCTTTTCCGCGCATGCGGTCAACATCCATCGGGGCAGGGCCACTCTTCGAGGGAGGAGGGCTATGGTTCCTAATAGGAGCAGGCGGAGCAACCGTCGGAAATATTTTCCGTGTGGGAATGAATGCACTTCCAGGTTTTGGCATAGGTGGAGTAGGACAAGTGGAACTGCGTGTCATGTTCTGGTTTGTCTCCACGAAGGCCTCATTTGCTTCCCTGTTCCGGGACACCCTCTGCGCAGCTTGGTACCACCCTTCCGGGTCATCGAAATCTGGAGCTCCATCCCCAAGCAGCGCGACTTGGTTCTGGAGTGTCGGATCAAGTCCTTGTCGGAATTTGATGACGATCGTCTTGTCGTCGTCATACTCCGCAAGGTCGATGAGGTCCTGGAACCGATCGATGTAGTCATCGACCAGATCCTTGGCCTGGTACCAGCTTGTCCCCTCAAGCTTCGTAAAGGCTGTGAGCTGCTCGTTTTTCGGGCAGAACTGGTCAGAAAATGTTTTCTTGAAGGCGTCCCAGTCCCGGAAGTAGTTTCCCTTGCCCTTTGCTTCATGTCGGATCACCTTGTTTGCAAAACGGGCTGCGCGGTCTGACTTGAAAAAGGACAATGCCCAGTGAATCCGAGCCTGGTCGTTCGGAAAGAGGTCTCCGACAATTGCGAAGTAGATGCCGCATGTGTTGAAGAACACGTGTCCCTTCTCCCGATCTCCGTCAAAGTCCACCGGAGTTGCAGGTTTGACCTTTGCTAACTTCGCGGACATCCTCTCTTCCGCTGCTTCCGCTTTTCCGAAATCCGGATCATCCAGCATTTCATTTCCACCACTTTGTGGAATATCTAACTTAGCCAAAATCGCTTGTAAGGCTGTTTCAATCGCGTCAGTCTTCATCCGGTTCCGCGTCAATTCCTCCTCCATATTCCGAAGACGATCGTCCGGATCCATGTCAGAAGGAGAAATATGGGACAGGATTTCTGGGGTTGGGAGCTCGATGTAAGAAGAGGAGCTGTCGTACACTGTGTGTGCGGAAGAGGTCGCGATCTCTGAGTCGCTGTCTCCGATTCCGAACGCACCTATGGCGAATGCAACGCACAGTACGACCGCCGGTCCTCTAGGGAAGAGACTTTTCTGCTGTCAGGGCAACCCTGACTGGTTGTGGAGATCACACTACCACACAACTGACAAGGGGAAATCCAAAGTATGTATAAATGAACAACAGAGTATACAAGAGAGGGGATTCTCACCTGACAAGGGGAAATCCAAAGAGAAAAGTCTAAGGACCCCCAATGTCAGCGAGCCCATATTATACTACGCTGTGCAGCCAGGGACAGCACTTGGCACTTGCCATCAACCCTGCATCCCCCTGACCTCCCTGACCCTTGATCGACCCTTGATGCCACCTATTACGCGAGTTGCTTGATTTCCGACACTGTTCCGAGAGCGGAAGTCGGAAATTGGAGTGGAACTGGCAAGCGAACAGAACTGGTGGAAGTTCTCCCAGAAGCGGAATCATTTCTGAAAGCAGAGGCGGAGATGGAATCGGAACCGGAAGTGGAGTCGGAAATGGAGTCGGAACTGGGTATGGTGTTGGAACTGGAAATGGAAAACAGGGTGTCCCCTGACAGCGGAGGATGATCATGACCAGGGCCATAGGAACATACTTTAAGGTGTGCATGTCTTGTCTGCGGGAATTATAATAGTATTGATGATTATCCTTGAAGGGTAAGCACCTGTACGGCTTGCCACGGTACCATATATATACGTGTGCAGCTGTATGTTGTATGGCTACATTACGGTCTCAACCGTAATGTATCTTGACCACATGTCGGCTAGCAGCTGGAACACTCGGCGATATGGGTACGGCGGTCATACAGAACACACGGGGTATGGAGTGCAGGTGTATTCCAGAATAGACTATACTATGCTCGGCACTTACACATCGAGTCCTTCCACTCTCCCCCATGCCTGCACTTGTATATAGACCGTTGAGACAAAAAAGTGCGCTTTTGCACTTTAAAAAAGTTCGCGGTGACAGTTTCGAAAAAAAAAAATTTGGAACTTTTCTTCAGTTCAAATATGTACTGGAAATAAGTTCTGTATTTTGGGAAAATCTGGAACAGTATAACAGTACGAATTGGAACTGATATTCAGGGCAAGTGCATTGGGCGCGTATTTTAAGTTCCGATCTTTCCTACAGTGCATGAAAGAGGTAATGGTCTTGACCAAATCATCAGAGATCATAAGATTGTGCCTATCGTCATAATCCACAGGTTTCAAAGCTTTGAGAAGGCTTTCATCTTGAAAAACAGAAAAGCAGCACCATTCCATCAGGAGCTGGGGTTGATGTGCCACTTTGGGAGTCACGGCTATCCACCATGAAAGGGCTCATCAAAATAATGGGACCCACTGTGCACCACCAGACACATGACATGTCAAAAGTGAACATGTTTAGTATTCTAGTAGCAATTCATCACCCTTGTGTGTCATGAAATAGATCCAATAGTCATCTTGAGGATCCTGAATTTTTGTGACACAAATACATGTAGTTTACATGTATTTGCCCCATTTATAACTAATTCCCCACAACACCAGCCGGTGTTGCCACTTCCTCTGCGTCCCTTCTCCATGAAAATCAACACTCCTGGCCATGATGTACATGGGTTGTGATTGACGTGCGAAGGATGAGGAATCGCGCCTCCACTTGGGCTTTTCGGAGCGGGTTGAGCCTCTCCGAAAACCTCAAGTGAAGGACGTGTGCGGAGGAGATGTACGTGGGCTGTGATTGGCGTTGGAAAGGACGTGTGCGGAGGATGACAACGAGAACCCCCTCTGAAGAGGCCCGATTCCCAATCAATGCAAAGAAACATGTATTCCAGTTTTCACAAACCCTTGCACAAACAATTGACCCGTTGCGTCTTGGATAATATAACGTTGTTTCCGCCGGGGTAGATCTAATTGTACACGGGATAGTCGTCTCCAACGGTGCAATAGCTCAGTGGCCAGAGCATGCGATTGCAGATCGCGTGGTCCCGCGTTCGAATCGCGGTTGTGCCTTTTTGTGTTTTCTCACCATTTGCGAGAAGTACTTCTGTATTGAACTATCAGGACTTGTTCCACCGAATCCGGTGTGGTCAGCTTATAGTTTTCTTGCTACCCAAGACAACTCAGAAAGCTGGGCAATCATACTCAGATTTCGACGTATTTTGCTGTGGGAAAGAGTCGACTCTCGTTTAGGAATATATATATGAATTGGCGTGGAGGTCCGTGCAGTTCGTGAACCTCCAAGTGCTTTGCGCCACGATGAGCAATCAGAATGACACAGTGATCAATTAAATAAATGGACAATGCAACCTGCACCTGAGTCGTCGCCGGACCTGGTTTCATACGAAACCCAAGGCGTCTCTGTTCAAAAAAAAAAAAGAATTCGGATGGTTATACTTACAACGCGACCAGTGGAACTTAAGGCATTAGGAGCGATATCGGTCACAAGAAGAGGTACGGATATATGACGTGTAACGAGAGAGACAACGTTAAAAGGTATGCGTTGCGGCAAAGCTTTCACGACGTTGTTCTGATCTCAGGAGGCTTTGCATTGCGTTAGTGCCTCGTTGACAAGATCCGCCATGATGCGCTGGCCTTGCTTTGCGGGATGACTGTTATAATAGTAGTCAGGATTAGGCATTCACTAGGCTAGGCTGGAGGCAATGTGTCAATGACACGCACGAAGCGATCCAATAGAACGTGTGATCGGGATCAGGGCTGCGGTGTGAGGAGGTGCGTTATTAGACCTCAGAATTCATATATAACATGTGAGCGTACCAGATATTGGGGGGATCACAACAAGGCCCCGGGCCAATGTCACAAAACTGGTTGGATGTATAGCCGAAAGCTTTGAAGCCAGGGGGTTGGTTGTCGATAATCGCGGACCACATTGGGGCAAAATCAACGAATGCAACTCTGAAAGAGGGGGACATGGCAGAGTTTCGGCGGGCATTGAGGCCAGAAAAGATGGCTTGCTTATATGTATCACCAGACGCCGACTGACTCCCAATGCCATAGACATCTTACTTGGTTTAGTTATCGCACAATAGGACATTGTGGTCAACGGACCTAGAACCAAGAAGCTGCGAGCATTTGTGGGAGGGGACGAAAGCAAATCAATCTGATTGAGCACAGTCTGTGCAGCTTGCGGTAAATGATCACCGTCCACTAATAAATAAAGATGAGGCCAGGAGGCGCATGAATGGACGGGATTGCGTGCCTTGGGACGCCAAAAAGTCATTGATACCAAAGAACACCACGAATAAAGTCGAGGCAGGGTCAAGATTGTGAGATTGGCTGAGGAATAGATCCACTAAATACCCCATGTAAGTACCAGAACATCAGAAATAAATTACAACTGACCTTGATGGATGAAGTCACTGTTATTGGCGCGACTTGGCCACAATGAAGCGTTGGTGACAGCAGCACTTATCTGCGGTTGATAATTTCAAGTAAACTTAAACCGAAATATCGGCGGGAGACTAACTGCGTAGTTCATCACTGTGATCTGGCCATGGTCGAGGGCGAAATCCTCGACTACCACATATTTCAACCTTATGTAAAGATGCTATAAATCCTCAAGCAACTTACCCCACATGGGTCCGTTGCTGCTGCGCCCGCCTGCCTCGGGGTTAGGTGGAATGACAACTGCTGGCGGAGGTGGAGTACCGTCACGATTTCCCCCTGTGTCCGCTATGTGATGACAGGATACGAAAAGTTCACAAAGGAGGCAATACGTAGAATAAGCAGGTGATCATGTAGAGAAGCATTAGGATGTTACTGTATGAATCTCCAAATGACACGATGGTTTTGTACGAGTCGAGGGCAAGCAGGCCCGCATTGACATCAGAGAAAAGGCCACTTAACGAGCCACAGTTTGGGCCGATGGCCAGATGGATCCCGTTATTCGTATCATTTCCCCCAGACTGCCTTGGAAATGAGACAGCAAAGACGAAAGACGAGCACAAAGCAAGGATGAAGACCAAGAGCATGATCTCTGCACGGGCGGTCCGGTTTGCGACTCCTCCTCCTCTCGGAAACCGAGTTATGCTATGCCTTATAGAACCTGGGTCGACATCCATTAGTAGCGAGTGTAGCCTATCGAACTGTGATCCATGGAAAGCTTTCTCTGCGACATCGCGGCCCGAGGCCATCTTCCATATTCCTGCCCACATGTGTGTACCTTGCCCGGTGGTCACGCTGGCAGGAGTTAGACGCCGCGGAAGAGAAGTGATTTTTTGTTTGCAAGTGACCAGAGTGAAAGGCAAGTTTGCATGCTACTAGAATGTTAGAGGTAAAAGTTCTTGAGAACCATGACCCGAAAGCACGGGCCTAGCATTTCTGATCTTGAATGTGGGGAGTCGCGAGCGTTAGTTTACAGTAGCAAAACATGCAGGGTTGAGACAAATCTCATCATGAGGTTGAACACTATCTATAGCGCTATATGCAGCATTAGTATTTTCCGAGGCGCTATTGAAGCACTGGCTCCCAGTACTCTTGATCATCTTCTGTTTTGCCCTCAACATCCTCCTTATGCAGCTTCTGCGTTCAGTCTCACGACGATCTCGGCTGTATTTACGGCTACAGGTGACCGGCGCCGCTATGGCTGGAAAAGCATATACGAATATTCAGCCCCAGGTTTGGGTCAGTTCAGAATCCGACCGATGACATATTGAGCAGCGTAGTACCGCATACTTACAGTATATACACGACATGGGGCATTAAGATTATATACAAGCAAAGGTTCTGTATCTTTCTGTCCTCCTAGCCTATATGTAGCCATTTACAGTAAAATGTGAGCATCCACGGTCCGTCAAAATCATCAACAAAGGAATACCAGTGTACAAACAAAGACCCCCCGGGTAGAACGAACTCAAGAGACGAAAATTGTCTTAGCGCCCCTCCCTCGTCATTTCCGCTGATACTGGTTTTTACCAGTCTTCTGTTCTCACCTGTCCGTGTATTCTGCCCATGGCAGCTAACGGCGCCACGAGTAACCAGAATCCACGGACAGCAGCCGCCAAACCTGCACCCACCGGACCTGCCCCTCCTGTCCCAGCTTCTGCCCCTCCAATTCCTCCAAACGTCACATCAGCTAATACCAGGACAGCACAGCCTCACGCGCACCATTCTCCCAACTGCGGTGCTGTCAATGGGGCCACCTCGCACGCGCATCCACCCGCACCTCATACTACACAGAAGGGAAAGAAGAAGGCCGAATCTGTAGATCCGGCGACAATGTATGAGACGGTGAGGAACAGGATTGCCGCACTTGAAGAAGAGGAGGTGCATGGCGAGGAAGAGGAGCGGCGGATTGGTGCGTGCAGTTGACGAATTCGAACGAAACATTGTACGTCAAGTGCGTCAAGCATGCTGATGTCTGCTCTCAGCGGAGGACGCCCGTAAAATGGTCAAAGGCGTGTCAGATTCAGTGGTACACACGAAATATATTGATCTGGTACGGAACGTATTGTCAAAACTAAGATTCGGGGCATCAGTTCAGTCTATCACCATAGTACCAGGAATTGAAACGGTTGGAGCGAGATCACGCCAAAGAGAAGCAGAAATTGGTCAAGGACAAGGACAATGGTACCTTTCCTCCTAGTTTTCATCGCGTCAATGGCCAGTTGACGAGCGTCGGAAATGATCAGCAAAGAGTCAATTGACAAAAGCAAACCAAAACAAGACCAGGTTTGAGAATGTAGCTAGGGAGTTACAGAAGGTAGGCACTGGTCCTTACTGAAGTATTGACACTGACCGTGTCTTCTTGTTTATAGGAGAATAAGAAGCTGAGGGTAAATTTTGAAGGTGATGTCGCTATGCCGCAGCTAACAAAATTGCTCCAGGAAGACAGTCGAACGATGTCTATCAGCGTGAAGGAAGCTCAAGACGAGGTATGATTGTGCTCAGTCTTAAAAACATTATGACATGTTCATTGCAAATTTAGATCTTAAATCTAAAGCTTGAGATGGAACGACGAGCAGACAAGGCCAGAAAGAAAGAGAAGAAATATCTCGAGTCGTCCGACATTGTCCTCAAAGTTGTTTGTAAATATCGCGCGGAGCTTTTTTTCAAGATTTCTCGGAAGACGAAGCTCAGTAGACTCTTCAACGCCTGGACCGAGCGAATGGAGATGGGGAGCACTGTCAGTGGGAATGGGGGAGGGAAGAAGGATAAACAGGAATCGCAAGACAGCGATACGCAAGAGGAGAAGGCCCCGATGATGTTCTTGTTCACACATCTGGGCCGAAGTATAGAACCAGATCAGACGCCAGAAGATGTCGGGATGGAAGCTGGGGATGAGATCCTCGCTGTGGAAATGATGGACTTAACCAAAGACGAAGTCGTGCGCATCAAAGCTGTTTTTCTGTGGTATCGGAAGACTAACGCCGACTCTACCTCAGGACGACGTTCCTGAATCTCAGCGGCAACGGCTGAGGAAACATTGGACCACTAATCCACATGCGTCAGTCACAGCTGTTCTGATCGCCGTCTGGGCGCTTGACTTATTTGTACTATTGCAGTGCGAAACAAGCTGTAGAGGAAATCTTCGACAATGTGTATGTTATTCTCTGGGGTCTTCATGTTTCTTTGTGTTGATGTTCGAATAGAGTCCGCGAACGATTGAAGGACGTCCTCCGACAGTATGAACTGAGGGAAAAACACTTTGATTGCGTTATACGTTCCAAAGAGTTGGAGGTGCTTCTGTCACGTGCTAGAGCGGAGGAGCAACGAGGTCTTGTGGAACAGGAGCGGCGGAAGGCAGCTGACAATGAAGCGAAGGCAAGTCGATGTGCACCGAATGAACGAATCGTTCTTTCTTAATGACAATCACCGAGTAGACTCGCGAGCTGAATGAGGAAGCACAGCAATTGAAAGAGCAATCATCTCAAATACATCATCAATTACAGCGGCTGAAAGAGCAAAGTAGAGATATTAACTCCTCTCAAGCTCGTCTGCTGGAAGATCTGCGAGGTGGGTCTCTTCCCCCACCAACAATTCGGGCGAACTCT